GGAAATAGCTTGGCAGTCTAATTGGCTGCCTGGAAAATGCAAGGATCTGGGTTCAATCCCTGGTACCACATGCCATGTCAGCCCCAGAACCCCAGGCATACCATGCCAGCCACTGAAATTGGGTGTGGAGTTGCACACCTGTAATCCCAGCACCAAAGATGCTGAGACAGGATGATCACTATGAGTCCTAGCTGCATAGTGAGACCCCACACCAAATAAATAAATAAATAAATAATATTTTTTAAAATTAAAAAATATCAGAAACTCTTGTAAAGCCACATACCTGCAACGTGGCTAATCTGGTCACTGAGTTCAGGTTGGATCACTACCAAAATCGTTGACTGCTATTGCTACTGTCTTCCATAGATGTCAGAATTTCCTCCAGGAAAACTGATTTCAAATTATGGGCCCTATTAAAGTAGTTTTAAAACACTAAGTTATGCTGACAAGACGACTATCCACTATATTTCACTATCTCTCCCTCTGACTCAAAGAGGGACTAGGCAGCATCACTGCAAGAGTAGTAGCACATTGGAGAAAACTAGAAAGCAATATCTCTGGATCTTCTTTAGGAAAAAGTCGGAGACAGAACCCTAAGCACATCCCCTGGCCTCTGTCTTCTTTGTCCAATCAGGTGAGTCAAAGCCATGTGAGCCTCCTGAGAAAGTTCACAAAGGAGAGACTCTGCCTCATTACGGTCCCTGTGCTCCACCCCAACTATCACCACATTCTCTCCTCCCTTCTTAATCTCTCACTATGAGTAACATTCACCACAGCATGAGGGAGATGTATAGGAAAGCTCCTCATGCTGTTACATATGAAAGTCCAGTCTATGAGACAAAGTCTATGAAAAAAATTAAAAAGAAGAGGTAGGACCATCCCAAGATGTCACTTTTTTTTTTCTGTGTGGTCACAGGAATGTAACTACTTAGAGTTCCAGTCAATAACCTGCAGCTGTTATTAACTACTGTGAGGGCTTTGAGTATCCAGGACACAGGAAAAAATTTCCTAGCACTGTGTTGACACATAGTATGTGCTACTGCTATTATCAGAATGCCTAGCAGTGAACCTGAATGACTTTGAAGGCTTCCCCTTGCCGCTCTGGGCTGTTTTCTCCTCTATAACCTTCAGAGGATTACATCCTGGTGACCAGTATCACAAGATTGGTGCAAGGATTCACCTGGAAAGCACTAACACAGAGGAGCCAAACCCTGAATGAATTTCATTGCTTCATAGTGAATGGTCACCTGGACTTCACACTTGAATGACCTGTTCACCACCCTTATTTGCTTACTTATCTCAGCCTCAGTCTGGGAAACAGGGACAAAGTGATAAGAACAGATTCCATGGCTCCACCAGTGCTGAAAGCTGTCACTTTATTGGTTGGGAAAGGGAAAATCTGTGGTCAGCTCAGGACAGAATGCAGGATCCAGAAAGAAAGGAGGGCAGCTGTGATGGAGCCAGATGCAAGGCTAAGCAGAAATTTCCTTTCGCTGTTCTTCAGGCGAGTGGTGGTGGAGCTAGAGGATGAAAAGCACAAGAATATCATCAACAACAACATCCATCACATTAGGCAAGAATACACACCCTTTAAATCCCAAGCTAGCTTCCCTGTGCCAGCATATCACACTCAACACACAACAAAGTGCCACCCCTTGGGGGCTCTTCTTGCATTTTCCCTCAGTTTTCACACTTCTCTGTACTGATTGATATCATCACCAAGACCTACTAGGATATATAAGTAGTCCTAAATGACTGCTTATAAGGCCATCATAAGGATTCACAGGCATTTAATCTCCCCAGGAATCCCGCCACTACCAGAAAGTTCCATCATGCTTTGATTCCTTAGGTCAAACTAAAGTGGACTGGTCAAACAGATCTTATGTATCTCCATTCTATAAAAAAAATAACTGTGGTCCAAGGAGAGCTAGAATTTGAACGTGGGTCTTGTGTTTGCAAATCCCAACTGTATAGCTGGCATTCATAGAGCTAAAAGATGGTTGGCATCATAGAAGAACTATGGGGTCTTAAGGAGACCATGGATCCCTCTTATCTACTAAAGAGCACACTTTGAAGTAGTGAGAAAGGGCTCTTGGACATGGATTTCTCTCCAGGATTCACTTTTGAAAAAAATCTATGTACTGATAGATTTCATCAGTAACCTCCAGATTTCCTTTGCTGAGATCTGGTTAAAGGTTGCACACAATAACAGTGACTTCCAAACTGTGCATCTTTTGATCCTTCTGCCCACCTCCCCAATGCACTTCTCAAGACTACCTGCCTTCAACTGATGAATTTTCATAAAGTGAATAAACTCATGTAACCAGTCCACTTGTATTAGTTAGGATTCTCAAGTGGAACTGAGGCAATATAAAATATATGCATAACTATACAAGGTACTTGTTAGGTAGGCTTATAGAGTCAGAGATGGAAGAGTCACAACAGCTGTCTGTGGGATCAGAGGCAGAAAATTCCAAATGGCTACTTGTACACTAGAGAGCCAGAGTATCCAGTTAACTGCTCAAGAAAATTAAGCTGTAAAGCAAGGTTGGGGATGTCAAAGATAAAGCACCAGTCCAAGGTCAAAGACCTGGATGCTTCCAGTAGAGTGCCTGGTAGGAGTTTGCCTCGGAAGGCTGGGGACAGATATCCAAAGGCAAAGACAAAGACTGGGGCTCTTCCAAAATAGAAGCACTTCTTTCTTCCCTTTTTTTAGTCTATCCAAACAACAAGACTATTGGTTCATGCCACCCACATCTGGGGATATGTCTTTTCCCCTCAGTTCCCTGGTCTGCACGTCAATCACCTAGAACTGTACTTTACTAATCTGATAGGCAGTTCTTACCCCAGTCAAGCTGACAATCACAGTTCCTGTTACACCCAGCAATCTCCCCTGGTGCTTGCTCCCAGTTCAATTACCCTCCCCAACCTCCTACATATCCCCATAAGTTTAGAAATAGAAACCAAACATGATAATACTAACTTTAAACACATAGGGTATTTGGCTTGTTTTTGAACTTTGTGTAAATGGAATTATAGAATACAAAATCTTTTGCATAATACCTCTTTAACAAAGTCTCTGTTTATGAAATCTATGTTGTTGCATGTGAGAATAGTTCATTTATGCTCATTGCCAAATATTATTCTGATTTACGATGATACCATAATTTATCCACTCCATTATTGAGGAATATTTGTGCAGTGTCCTGTTTTAGGCTACAACAGTCTGCTGTGAATATTTTTAAATAAACTATCTTTTGTTTCTTAAAAAAAAAGACTACCTGCCTTCTATGCATGCTCAGTTCCAGCTCACGGTCACTCCTCTGGGAAGTCTCTTCCACTTCTCCTTTTCCAGCCTCCCTATCCATGCCTGTGTGATGGTTCTGCCTGTTTCCCACCATACTGGGTGCTCATTACAGGTGCTAGGAGCATCATCCATCCATTCACCTCAGCCAAAGGACTGAAAGCTCTCAAGTGCGCCGGTGGTCACCTTTCTGTCCCAGCACCTGGCACAGCCAGTGGCTGAGTGCTGGATCACCCAGCAGGCCCACCAACTATTTCCTTCACTTTTCCTCTTTACTTTTTCATGCTTACTTTACTACTTAATATGTTTTGTTCTTCATTATAGGAGGGCTAGAGAGGCTCCATAGTTTTGTCTTTTTAGGGCCAAGCTTACTAAAAGTGGATAAATTTAGTTCTGGCCTGCTACAGAGTAAGTGCTAATGTACATTGAGCACACATCTGATGAATCAAATGGAAGTTAACAGATCTCTTGCACATTTGCACCAAAAAGCTAAGCCCTTGTGGTGAAAATAAAGATGGACTCTTTTCCAGTCTCACACCGGACATGCAGGGAGCTTCCTGCCTCCTGCCTCTGATGCTTTCATCTCCTCCAGCTGCTGTTACCTCCCCCAGGACATAGCTGGGGCACAGCTCCTTCTCTTTAGTTCTTGACTTACTGAAAAGCACTGAACAAAGGAAAGCCCATCTCTTCCTTGAGCAGCTCTGTTCCTCACAAGCACTGCCTCACGTGCTTTCCACCCAGCCATTGCCCTGTCCCTGACTCTGTCCTGGTTCAGACCATCTTTCACAGGACCCCTGCCTCTGGCCCAGCTCTGTCTACTTGCACCGCAGCCAGAGGAGACTTTGAAAATGTCAGTCTGAACAAGTCCTTTGAATGAGCTGCCCCATGCTCAGCTTAAACTCTGCTCTCTCTTTCTGTTACTCTCTCCTGCTTACTTGTCTACAGCCTCTGGCTCTTCCTGAAAGACCCAGGGATGCTTTTGCCTCCACACCTACTGTTCCTCTGCCTGCAACACTCTTCTTGGACAGCCCCACAGCTCTTTCTCTCATTTTTAATGGTAAACCTTCTCAGCAGGGCCTTCACTTACTGTCTTCTTTATGCTTTATATCTGAAGTGTCTTTCTAAGTATATTGAGGCCTTGATCCGTAATGCAGCAGTGTTCAGAGGTGGGGTCTAAAGATGTGGTTAGATCACCAGGGTGCTGAATTCATTGATGCATTAAACTGCTGGTGAGCCCCTAGCTGAATAGACTACTAGGAAATAGGGCCCAGTGAGAAAAAGTACATCCCTGGGGCAGCCTCTGAAGGGTATATGTGGTTCCAGCCCTATCCCCTCCCTTCTGACTTTCCCTCCACTTCCTGCCTGTCAATTAGATAAGAAGTCCTCCTTCACCATGCCCTTCCACCATGAGGTTTTCTGCCTTGCCAGATACCCAAAGGTAAGGGCATCATATAACTATGGACTGAAACCCCTAAATTCACAAGCCCAGATATATCTTTCTTCATCTAAGTTGATTTGCTTAGGTGTTTTGTCACAGGGACAACAACTAACACACCTTGTGTAAAATTGCAACAATATTCCCTGTCTTCTCCTCCCTGGGTACTCTTTTCTTCCCTTGTGTTTTCTTTTCCTGAGGGCATCCCTGTAACATACTACAAAACCTTTTTGCCTATTTGGTTCATTACCCATTAGACTATAAATTCCATCCGAGAGACATTTTGGTCTGATCTATTCACTCACTGAGCACCCCCAGCATCTACAGCTGCTATAGATAATAAATAGCTGTTGAGAGAAGGAAAATACATAAGTGGACCAACACACGAGCACCAAAATGTTTGCCCAGGTCTCTCTTTTCAACCTGCTACACGTCCTTTCATCCCTGGGTCTGACCCCCACCTACCTGAGAAGTTGGGTGTGACGCAGGATACCTTTCCACAGCCATTGCGGCAACATTTCATCACGCCATTACACTGGCTGTCCTGTTGGCACTGGTCCTCACAGATGCCAAGCTGGGGTAAGTCCACACTGGGGCAAATACCTGGTTTTTCTGGGTGGAAGCAGCAAGAAAATGTAGACTGAGATGGAGGGAGGAGATGATCAAAGCATGGTCACCCACTGCCCCTCAGCCTGGTAGGCAAACAGCACAGCTCCTGCTTGAGTTGATCTCAGGGACCTGAGCTGTTCCCATCTGTCCCTGAGGGACTATCTACAAATCCTTCTTCCTCCTACTCCAAGATGCCTCTGGAATCATCAGAGTTCAGTTTAGGTTCAAGCTCTACCATTTCTACCTTTGTACCCTAAGACCAGAAATTTCCCAGAGCACCAGATCTTTAGGTGTCACGCAGAATCAGTGATATCCATGAGGAGAATCATGGGCTTGTTACAGAAGCAATGGAAATAAATAGTATTGTTTCTTCCCCAAAGATTAAGCTACTTTGCAATAATAATGATTACTTATAGTGACTGACATTTAATTAGTTCTTGCTATATGCCACTTTTCCAAATACTTGACATATATTAGCTCATCTAACTTTCACAATAACTGTAAAAAGAGGGAAGGAGATGTTAATATTTCCTCAACTTTACAGAAAAAGAAACTGAAGCCCTAAAAGGTTAAGTAATTTGCCAAAGGTCATACAGGACTGAGGCAAGAATGACCCATAGGAAGTCTGGCCCCAGACTCTGCATTAGTTTCAGCAGGCACTTAAACACTTAAGCTAATGGGCAGGCCCCTGGACTCTGCATTAGTTACTGGCACTATGCTTCAACAACTGTGAAGTGTGGTGCGCACGTGAGTATGACATGCTCCACATTCGCTATATTCATTTCCATTGACTTGCTCCCTGTTACAATCACTCAGCACCGATACCCTCCACATATACACACGCACATCCTTCCACCTACCCACTACACCCAGAGCTGCCACTGCACAGCTGTATCATTTACCAGGCTCTCTGTGGAAAGTGGTGACCTCCTGCAATCCTCAAATAAAATGGCTTCATCCTAGGGCATGTTTCTAACTCGATTTATATCATAGAAGAGGAAAATGAGGCATAGAAAGGTGAAGGGGCATCCCAACAGGACCTGCTGGTCAGGAGGCATGGTTTAAAACAGACAGGACCTGAGCCTTGGTGTCTATACACACGCACACATGCATGCACACGAATTGATTCCTGACTCAAGGAATGGGGATCAAAGCCTGGTCAAATGTAAAACACAGGCACAGAACTAGGTAATCAGTTTTAGAAGACCAAGAAAGTAGTTGACAGACCCCTGCTTCCTAATCCAAAGAAATCTCTTCCCTTGAAAAGGACAAGACCTAGCAATGCTGGGACAAAAAGAGAATATCCACAGGAAACAGTGTAGTACTAACTAAGCGAGCCACCATAACAGTGTCCACTCCCTAACAGGACTCTCTCCACCATCTGCCATTTCTTTGAGGTCTCATGTTAACTCCAACGTTTTTTTTTTTTTTTTTTTTTTTTTTTTTTTTTTTTGCGGAACCAGGGATTGAACTCAGGCCCTTGCGCTTGCCAGGGAAGCATTTATTCCACTGAGCCATCTCCCTGGCCCCTCATGTTAACTCCATAGCTTGGGGTTTCACTCTCACTCTCACTCTGCACACAAGCAAGAGAGACAAAGCAGTTTATTCAGGCACACACCTAAGATATGTCAGAGCTAAGACACAAGCCTTCATGTTCCTTCCCTGGCTCAGGAAGCCCTCTGGCCTGTCCCCTTTCCGCGTTTTGCCTCAGTATGTCCATCTGATAAAGGGAACAAGCTCTTCATTCACCTACATCTTAACCTCCCTTTACCCTTCTAGCTCTGTGGTCTGTCAGTTTCCTGATTTCTCTCCCCACCTCCATCTCTCCATCTGGTTCTCTCCCAGCTACACATGAGGGGCCTCCATGCCCAGGTGCTGCCCCTGATGGGCAAGTCCTCCTGAGCACCTCCTACCACTGCCCTTAGTGTATGGGACCCCATAACCACTTAGCTCCCTAGCCTCTGCTGCCAGTGTAGGGGAAGACAATACAAAGAAGGGGAAAATCTCAGGGGATGTCTTCTGATGAAGACCAACAGCCATAGGTACACCTGGGTCCTTCCTCGGTCCCATTTCTGCTTCTCATCCACAGGCTTTCCCTCTGAGAAGCCTTGATTTCATGCTGAGGACGCTTCTTGCCCTGATCAGAATCCCTGTCCGTGGAGAGGCTTGAGCCCTAGCAAGCACCCCAGCTCTCTCCCCTTTGGGCCTCCAGAAAGACAATGTTTTAAAAATAAGGGAGTTAGGAGAACGTTCCCAGGGCAGGTCCTGATTTTCTTCAAAACACTCAGCCAGCCAATGGTAAAGGCAAATACTGAGCCCTGCCAGCCACTGGATGACAAAAAACCCTTGGGCTAGAAGTTTTCTCTGTCACTACTCTCTTCCACAGACAGAAGATAAGGGTCCCATCTTGACATCAGTCCTTTTCTGACCAAGCAAGAATCTGTGGAGTACTGCTAGGCAGGCTTTAAGCCGGCCCCTGGTCCCTACACTGCCGGGAACAATGTCTCGCTGTGCGTGCCCGGAAGTCTGTCACGCACCAGAGATTCAAGTCCAGCCAGGGGTTAGGGGACCGCCCTAGCCCTTGGCTGCACCTCAGTGACGCCTTTGTCTCCCCTAGGGCTGTGCAAGGGAGGGCACTGGCGGATCTGCTTTCCTCCACCTCGACTTTCGCAGGGTCCCGGGTTTGGGTAGCCCTTCCTCCCGGAACATGCTCCCTCCTCTGGGTGCTGTCGTTGGCCCCGCCCCGCTCCCACCGGGTGGCCGCGAGGTTACCATTGGGTGGCGAGCAGACGCGGCCACAGTCGCCCTGGCAGCACTTGAGGTTCTCCGCGCAGTCGCCGTCTGCCTGGCACTTGTCGATCTTCGTGCAGTTCCGGTCCACCGGGAGCTGGGGGCACACCCCTGGTTTCCCTGATCCTGTGGAGGGGCGCGGCTTCAGGGAGCAGGCAAAGGATGCCCACTTCCTGCTTCGAGGGTCACCACAGCTCAACGCCAAGGCCTTTCACTCTCTGGCCCTACAGGACCCCTTACAGAGCCCAAAAGACCCCACCTCCAAGTTCAGAGTCTCAAGCACATCAGAGTACAGGAGTGTCCCAATGCTGGGCCTCAGAGCACTCAAATCTCATTCTTTAGGGAACCCTGCACAGCCGGGCAATGACTTGGAAGTCTAGGCAGACCTCTAGGCTCCATTCCAGCCCGTGTCCACCTTCAGCACAGAAGCCCCTGCAAATGTCAGTCCTTGGCGGTCCCCCATCTCCAGTAACGGACTCCACACCCTAAACTTGAAGGGTAACTATATTTGTGCCTCAGGGATCCCTTAATTTTAATTTCCGTGGATATACCCACTTGGGTCCCAGAAATTTCCTTCCCCAGCCCCAGCCCCTACAAAGGCTCCACCTCTGCCTGGCTCTGCCCTGCGCTGGTGGCCTCTCCTTGCCCCACTCACCTGTGGCCATAAGGAGGCCGGGCAGCAGCAGCCCGAGGAGGAGGGTGGCGGCCAGGGAGCAGAGACGGCCTACAGGCATGGTGCTGCGCGGGGTGGGGAGCGGGTGTGAGCTCAGTAGGAAGGGGGGATTTAACCACGCTCTCAGGGTGGGGGTGGGGTAGGGGCGGGGCCGAGCGCTGGGGTGCAGAAGGGGGGTAGAGAGCGAGCTCAGAGCTGCCACCTCATGCCATTTCACAATCCCCTGGGATCAGGTGTCACTCTTGGCTTCGGTGGGAACCAGGAACCCAAACAGCTTCCAGGCCTGGAGCAGCTCGACCAGCTGCAGCCGGACCCTTGTCCACTGCTTGCTATTTTCCTCTGTCCTGGGGCACAAGGGCAGGGCAGGACAGGGCAGGGCAAGGCAGGAGGTCCTAGCCACCAGGATCTGGAGCTGCTTTCAGATTCTTGGCTGCTCCCTGGAATGCCCCAGGTCAGGGCTGAGGAGAAAAAGGCAGGGGTCCACAAGGAGGCAATAAACCCGCGGGATTAAACAGTTGTACTTGGTGGTGATTGAATCAGAGTGCAGGTCGGTTTAGGGATTAGTGGTGGAGGCTGCAGTGGGGATCAGAGTATAGAAGAGGCTACAAAGTATCCAGTGGAGGCCACAGTGAGAATAATAAATGAGCCATTTGGACCAAGATCCACGAAGATGAGCCACCTGTTGTCTGGGTATGTGTTTGTGTCTCTGTTTCTTCACACCACACTCTTATCAGGGCTGAGTGAGTGTCAAGGACTGTGCTCCTTGTCTCCAGGAATCCTCTTAGCAGCATAGAACTGCTAAGCATTATTAGCATCAACTGTCATGACAAGCACACTAGATTTTCAAGTGTGTGAGAGTTTCACCCAGAGGTCCCAGGAAAGCTGAACAGACAAAGCTTTCAACCCAGCTTGCTCCCTCCAGTTCCTTGCGTTTTCCCATAGCATTGTAAATATTTGCAGGGGGGCCTACAAATAGGCCCTTTATGTGTCACATGGTGACACATAAAGGGAAAGACATCTGGTACAGAGAAGGTGAGCAAGCTGAGCCCTCCAGCTCTGAGCCCTCAAGCATTTGGTTTGACTCTCCCCTCCATCAATTTCCATAGAGCATTTAGAACGATTACTTCCCTGTTCTGAACAACCATTTTGTCATCTATAACAATAATGCTTAAATAAGACTTCAGTGAGAACATGAGTGTAAACCTCCTGCCATGAAACCAATCCGATAGGTAGATTTACATGATTGACCTGGGAACCTGAAATGCAACACATTATACTATCCCACAAGTATTGGGAATGCCTAGTAAATAAATTTGATTTTTACTATTACTAAGCAGACTGATAAGTACAGTTGACCTCTGTAACCATAGGTTCTATTTTTTTTTTTTTTGGCGGGGGGTATCGGGGACCAAACTTGGGACTTTGCACTTGCCAAGCAGATGATTATGCCACTGAGCTTTCTCTCTGGCCCAGGTTCCACTTTCTTCAATTCAAACAAACAGAAAATATGTGGGGAGAAGCTATATCTGTATTAAACATGTGAAGACTTTTGTTTTTTGTCATTATTCCCTAAACAATACAGTACACAGCTATTTACATGACATTCACATTGTAGTTCATTATTGTAAGTATTCTATTCTATTCAAAGCAGATAAGCACAAGAGGTTAGGGTAATGGTGATGAACCAATGACACAAGTGTTATTTGTTTTTCTTTTAAGACAAAAGATGTTAATATATGAGGTTTGTTTTTTCTTTCTAAACTAAACCCTTAGTGTTCAGGTTTAATTGCAGTGTCGGCACTGTGCAATAAACAAGTGGGCCTGCGGTTGCGTTTTGGGTACTTATCATTAAAAGGTTGGCCATCACCAATACAGGGGATGTGTGTAGTTTATATGTAATACATGTGGATTTCACTATCTACGGGGATCCTGAAGCCCATCCCTTGCAGATATTGAGAAGTGATGATACACATCAAGTTTTGGAATCCAGGGTGGTAAATGCCAAAACAATTACCAAGGGTATCATGCAAGAATTACCTCTAAATGTTCCTTATGCGGCCAGGGAGATGGCTCAGTGGAATAAGCACTTCCCTGGTAAACGCAAGGGCCTGAGTTCAATCCCCAGTTCCGCAAAAATAAATAAATAAATAAATAAATAAATAAATAAAAAATAAATAAATAAAATGTTCCTTATGCTCAAATGACCTGAGGTTCCACAAGCCCCAGGAGGTCTTTGTTCCTGGAGGCTAGAGGGGTTTGAGACAGTGAAAACTAGAATGACAGCTGAGTAGATCTTGGTGATGTGATATATCCAGTCATTGTTCCCATGGTAGATGTTAGTAAAACAGGCTGAGAATATCTCTCTCAACTTCCTGTGCCCAGCCTTGGGACTGGAAGCATGCCGTTGTTGGGCGGGCCAGGACTGTTTACTCTGAGCTCAGAGAACAGTCAACAGCATTGAGGGCAAGAACCAGGTGGGGACATAGCCTTGGGCAGGCTCCTGAAATCCAGGGCACGTAGAGGACACCTTGGTGAGCAGCTGGTTTTAGCCTGTGGACCAGCTGGCTACAGGACGTCCAACCTTAGGCACTGTTGTCCAGGTTTCTTTGAGGATTTATTGAGCTTCCCTGCCAAGAAACTGCTCAGACTTACCACTCCCAATACCTCATGTACTCCCTGGCTGATTGCTTTCTCTTAGTGGAATGTAGATTAGTGTGAAACTCAGAAGTGGGGTGAGGTGGGGTAGAAGGATGGAGAACAAAGTTTCATATGTTAGTGACATTAGATGTTTAGCTTTTGTGGTCCCAGGTTCCATGCTAGGTACAAGTGTGTGTTTTCTCTTCTACATAAATAAAAAGAACAGAGGCTTTAGAACTCCTCCAGGTCCCTAATCAGAAGTTAGACAATTCCTGCTTGTGGCTTAGAACAGTCCTCTTTTAGGCCCTCTATTTTCCTTCACGAAGTGAGAAATGTCTTGTAAGATTATTACATGTATTAAAGGGAAGAACATATATCAGAAGTTACCAATCCAAGTGGAGTATATATATATTATTGGCCTACACAGTACATTTTAAAGATTTAAATTAGTTACTAGGATTTAAAGTGAATTTCACATAAAGAACCCCTGTAGCTTCTCTTGGAAAAAAGTATAAGATCTGGTAGCACAGTCCTGCAAACTTACAAAGCAGTCACCAACTAGTGAAATAGTTAAAAGTCACCATAGGAACAAAGGACAAACTCCTGAGCCCCCAACCTATTACTCCCTAAAAGCATAGCTTGTCTTTTCTTCTGAGGAAGCCAGGGACTTAGAGGTTGGACCTGAAGATGCCCAATGGGTGACTAAGAGCAGGATGAAAGTTTGGCATTTCTGCAATCATGTTTTCCTCTGTTACCTCAAATCTTTGGGGGAGATCCCCGCTGAGCTTCGCACCAACAGCCAATGATAGTCTTGTGAGGGAATCAGCTAGGAGATCCAGCCAAATCAAGACTTCAGATGACAGTAGCCACCATCTGACTGCAGCCTCATGAGAAAATGCAATCTATATGAACATGCAAGACCACAAGACTGGAGGTACTGGCCAGAGGTATGTGTGAGATAGATATGCAGAGTTAAGGGACTGTTGAAGTCACACGCCCCAAACCTGCTGGCATGCATGGTTAAAGATTAAAAGATAGCCTACAGGGCCATAAGTCCAAGGAGGATAAAAACACTGCTATAAAGAATGTATGCCCTGGCCTTTGGCTTCTCCATATTCTAACTTCTTAGATTGGCCCTAAGGTTATAGGCTACTTATAGTAAAGACAGTGGTACCTCAGTTCATGAACACTTTTGCTTGTAATCTTGTTCAAAAGCAGAATGATGGGCCAAATTTTGTTTTTGTTTCCCAACTTTGCATTGGGTAACAAACACAACTGCTGTCTTTCTCACAGAAACACAAATATGGCCATCTTTTCTAAAAATATTAGAGAAAATTAAGTTTGTACCACCGTACAAAATTAAATTTGTACCAACGTACCACTGTCTCATCAAAAATTATATCAAGGCAAAACTTGAAGAAGAGGGCCCTGAAAAGGTAAAACCTTGTATAGCAGGACCTGCAGAACAGATCAAGCATATCCTTGTTAATTTAAAATACTACCAGAACTTTGTTGGTGAAAACATGAATCCAGATGGCACGCTTGCTCTACCAGAAGACCATGAAGATGGTGTGAACCTCAAATGTGGTTTTCTTGAAGGATGGTTTAGAGATGGACAAATGCTAACAGGTTTGACAATGACTTTGGACCTATCACCTGTCATCATAACTAGCTGCAATTTGGCATCTATGCAACACCAGGATGCAAGACAAATGGGACTGATGTTTTGGCCAAGATTTATTTACATGGAGGCTTTGGTTTTAGAAGAAAAACAACATGCCCTGTAAGTTGTCTAAAAATTAAAAAAAAAAAAAAG